GTAATTGAAGCCTACTGCAATTCTCAAGGAATCCTACATCAATTATCTGTTGCACGTACACCTCAACAAAACGGTGTAGCCGAAAGAAGAAATAGAACGCTAAAAGAAGCCGCACGAGTGATGATTACGTCAGCCGAGCTACCTAAAAGATATTGGGCTGAAGCAATCAACACCGCTTGTTACACGCAAAATCGAAGCTTGATACACAAGTCTTACAATAAGACTCCGTACGAATTATGGAAATGGAGAAAACCTAAACTCAACTATTTCCATACTTTTGGCATCAAATGTTTTATTCTTAATAATGGTAAAACATATCTAAAAACTTTTGATGACCGTGCAGATGAAGGAATATTTTTGGGATATTCATCTACCAGTAAAGCATTCAGAGTATTGAACAAGAAATCAATGGTGGTAGAAGAATCAATTCATGTTACATTTGATGAAGCTCATAAGAAGGAAACCCAGAGCAACAAAAATGATCAGGAAAGTTGTCAAGTTGAAAAATCATTTAATAATACTGACATATCTTTTAAAGATCAAGTTGTACAGGGTATGGAGCAATTAGACATTGATTTCAATAGTGAAGGACACGTGGAAGCAAATGAAGATCCCCACGTGGAAAATCAAAATTCTCAAGTTGAAACACAAGTTGGAGAACTATTTAATGAGCAAAATGTGTCTTCCTCCAACTTACCTATTGAGCAAGGAAACGTGGAAAACCCATGCAACCTACAACCTGACTTGAGATGGCTCAAAAATCATCCTCCAGAGCTAGTGATTGTAGATCCACGAGAAGGAGTAAAAACAAGGTCCTCAAATATAGATACTTTATTTTCTTGTTTTCTTTCTCAGATGGAGCCCACAAGCATTGAAGAAGCTCTAAGTGATCCTGATTGGATTAATGCAATGCAAGAAGAGCTTGATCAATTTAAAAGAAGTGACATATGGGAATTAGTTCCAAGACCCGAAAATTACAATGTGATTGGAACAAAATGGGTCTTTTGGAACAAAGCAAATGAGGACGGAATTGTTGTTCAAAATAAAGCAAGATTAGTGGCAAAAGGATATTCACAATAAGAAGGAATAGACTTCGATGAAACATTTACACCCGTTGCAAGACTAGAAGCCATCAGAATATTTCTAGCCTATGCCGCGTACAAGAATTTCACTGTCTATCAAATGGACGTGAAAAGTGCATTCTTAAATGGCTTACTTGAAGAAGAAGTCTACGTTAAGCAACCACCCGGTTTCGAGGTAAAAGGTGATATTAATAAGGTCTACAGATTAAAGAAGACGTTATATGGTTTAAAACAAGCACCGAGAGCTTGGTATGACACCTTATCAACGTTCTTAATTAACTGTGGTTTCCCAAAAGGCCTTGTTGATAAAACCTTGTTTAGAATTCAAGAAAATGATCACATTTTATTGGTACAAATTTATGTCGATGATATTATTTTTGGTAGTACTAATAAAACTTTATGTGAGAAATTTTCCAAGCTAATGCAGAATAAGTTTGAGATGAGCATGATGGGAGAGTTGAACTACTTTCTTGGATTACAAGTAAAGCAACTCAACGAAGGAATATTCATCAATTAGGCCAAATACACGAAAGATCTCATAAAGAAATTCAGTCAAGATGGAAAATCCTCAATCAAGATCCCGATGAGCACATCTTTAAGATTGGATAAAGATGATGAAGGCAAGGACGTTGACGAAACAAAATATCGAGGAATGATTGGATCATTACTATATCTCACTGCAAGCCGACCAGATATATCTTACTCAGTGGGAGTATGTGCTAGGTTCCAGTCAAAGCCAAAAGAAAGTCATTTTCTTGCCACCAAGAAAATCATCTGATACCTAAAAGGAACAGTCAATGTGGGATTATGGTATTCCAAAGAAGGTAATTTTACACTAACTGGTTTCTCAGATGCAGATTTTGCAGGATGTAAAATCGATCGAAAAAGTACATCAGGGACATGCCAGTTCTTAGTGGGAAGATTGGTATCATGGTTTAGCAAAAAGCAAAATTCCATAGCTACAAGCACAGCCGAAGCTGAATATATAGCTGCTGGGAGTTGTTGTGCGCAAATTCTGTGGATGAAACAACAACTGAAGGATTATGGCGTGAATTGTGAAAATGTCAACATACTGTGTGACAATACAAGTGCCATAGAAATAACACACAATCCCGTGTTACATTCAAGAACAAAACATATTGATGTGAGACATCATTTTATCTGGGATCATGTCGAAAAGAAGGAACTGACAATTGAATACATCCTGTAACACCCCGTGTTACGGCCTTCAATCCCGGATTAATTATTTAATTAATCCCGTTAATAATAATTAAATATGATTTAATTCGGTTAGGTTTCCCTTTAATTAATTAATAATGTAACACCCCCTAAAACACAGACCTAAAAACAAGTATTAACACATGAAGATTAACAACAAAACACTAGCACAGCGGAAGATAGAAAGATAACTGGATAAAAGGAATCCAAAACGGGGTGTTATGCCACGTATTCCACACTTGGCATACGCTACGGCGACAATCTGCAAGTGTAACACTATCCCAAAAATAACAAACTAGAACAATCTAAAGACATTGGCACACAGGCCTCAACTACACAGTCTAAAGATACAGGTGCTAAGCTACCGGCTCTAGACATCGCGCTCGACTACGCATCACCTAAAAGATACAAAGATAAAGATCGGGGCGACGCCCGGTCAGCGAAAGATGCTGGTAACCCACCAATACCGTTAAGTATCATAAATAGGTAGATATAAGATATAAAAACCATTTTCGAAACGGAATACATATATATAAGTCAAAAGCCAAGATCAAAAGACAACACAAGACTCACCACTCACAAGGATAAAACCGGGAACACATCCCAACCACAAAGATTAACCACACACAAGGATAAAGACTCACCCAATGGCAACACATGCCAAAACACCACACCACAAGCCTCCGTGACTACACACGTCACAAGAGAAGAGAACGCACCACAACAACGGCTTCACAAGCCCTCGTGACATCACCCATCACGAGTTGATATGCCTTCCTTATGCCCTGTTCCAACCTTATGGCTACCCCCAACCTTGTACCTTCGGTGCCAACCATTACCTCCAGAAAACCCCTATACAACCAAGTCCAACCTTATTCCTCCGGGACCGTCGTCCCCCACCTACAGACCACCAACGAAAACCCACCAATTCACGGCAACACATGCCCGGATAACACAATGTTATCCCCGAAACACGTGGACTCAGCCACAACTCCTTGAAATCACGTCACGGCCACCACGAGGACCGCTGCAATACCTTGGTGACTAGCGTCCCATACCACTAATCGTGCAATCCAGGTAAAGCCACACACGCACCACCACTCACATGAAACAAGCAACGGATTGCAAAAGAGATAAGAAACATACTCAATCAAGAGACAGGTCACCACCCATCGACAACAACGACGCTAGCATTAAGATAATAACTAGCAAGCTCAACAACGAGGAAACTCAAGATAGTTCCGAGGAACACACAAGACACCACACGGTTCAACGAAACACAATGTTGAACACTTAGCACGATACACAACACCAAAGATCCTACATGGATACCTACCATAAAGCTCTAGACCTACGAAACATCAAGAAGACGCTCAAATAGTTCCACAAAAGAACAACGGGAGGCCAAAAGATCAAAGACCTAGACAAACGAATCACGGGGAACAAATCCCATCTCAACACCATTGTGTTCCCCGCGGGTGGACCCACGGGTAGGCCCCTACCCGTGGTTCTGCCCGCGGGTACAACACCCACATTCCCGTGTACCGGCGGGTAGGGCTCTCCCAGCCGTTCCGCCCGCGGGTACACGCTCCTGTGTCAAACAATCCCTTCGGGGATTTTCTCCTTCCAACACAAATTCAAGTCCAAAACACACCAAATCTCACCAAACACAACAAAATGACTTGAACCAAGGAAAATGCCAAGCAATGGCACAAAGGAAACCTAAACACAAGCTCTAGATATGCAATATCACAAGATAAATGCATAAACTCTCACATTTCATAGCAAAACACAAATAGAAGCCAAGAAATCATATATAGGTAAGCAAAATAGGTTTTGTAGAGCATGGGTTACCTCTTGAAGACCAAAAGACTCTTCTTATACCACAACAAGCTCTCCACTAAGCTCACTAGCCAAACCCACTTCAAGATCAAACCAAAAGATCATAAAGACTAGACAAGCTTTGATCTTACCCTTCTAGATGCCAAAATAGAGGAAAGATTGAATCTTGGAAGCAAAACTTGGAATCTTGACAAAGGCTTCTTTTGGCTTGAAGAACAAGCTACTCCTGTTTTCTAGAGGGAATGAAATGAAGAAGTCCTCTAGGTTTAGGTTAGAAGACTAGCTCTTGGTGAAAAGACAAGGATACCCTTACTAACTCTTAAAAAGTGTAAGGAACAAGGGAACTCCTCTCAAAGCACAAGGTACAACACAACTTAAAGATTGACTAGTCAAATACTAGTCCTTGAGTATCAAAAATCAGGATTTTAGGAATCAATTACTCAAAAGAAATAGAATTAATTACTCAATTAATTCATGGTTTGGAGTATGGATTTTTGGGGTGTCACATCCTCTCCCCCTTCAAAGAAGTTTCATCCCCGAAACTTGGGTACAACGAATTAAAACGAAAGGTAATAAGGAAACAAAATTGTGACAAGAAGTTTCAAGAATATCCCTTTTGGTCAAAAACTCCAAAAGTTCTCACAAGGGTTCCAAAGCAAAGAAAAGACATTACGAATTTAAGGATTGGCAAGAGGTCAACAAACGGATAGATTGGCATCAAGAACTCTAACCTCAACACAACAACCAACTTCTAGACAACAACCAAGAACTAAACAACTAACCCAAACACCAACCAACAAACTAGCTAAACAACAAGGCAACAAACAAAGCAAGCAAGCACACAAAGCACACAACAAACTAAGAAGGCGAGATACCTTCCACAAATAACTCAGGGTACCGCTCCCGCATCGATGCCTCCAGCTCCCAAGTAGCTTCTTCAACCCCATGATGAGACCACCAAACCTTTACCATCCTAACAGATTTCCTACGAGTGTCCCGAGTCTTGAAGTCCAAAATTCTGAGCGGCCTTTCTTCATAAGACAAATCTTCCTCTATCGGTAACACTTCCAGTGGTAAAACATGAGCCGGATCGTGAACATATCTCTTGAGCTGCGATACATGAAACACATTATGCACTCTATCCAACTCCAAAGGTAACGCCAAACGGTACGCCAAACTCCCAATCCTCTCCAGGATTTCATACGGGCCTATAAACCTAGGGCTTAACTTCCCTTTCTTCCCAAACCGCATTACTCCCCGGGTGGGAGACACCTTCAACAAAACCTTATCCCCAACTGAAAACTCCACCTGTCTTCTAGCCAAGTCAGCATAAGACTTTTGACGATTCTGAGCCGCTTTCATCCTTTCCTGGATCTGTTTAACTTTCTCGGATGTGTCTAACAAGTATTGTGGCCCCAACACTATAGGAGTAACAAGATCCTCTCAACAAAGCGGACTGCAACACTTCTGTCCATAGAGAGCTTCATAAGGTGCCATGCGAATACTCGAATGATAACTGTTGTTGTAAGAGAACTCTATCAAATCCAGATGGTCCTCCCAAGACCCTTGAAAATCTAACACACAAGCTCTCAACAAATCCTCGATAATCTGTATAGTCCTTTCTGTTTGTCCATCGGTGGCTGGGTGGAAAGCTGTACTGAGACTTAACTTAGTTCCAAGAGCTGCTTACAAAGATTTCCAAAATTGAGACTAGAACCTTGAATCCTTATCGGAGACAATATCCATCGGAACTCCATGATATTTTACCACTTGGTTGACATAAGCTTGAGCCAACTATGTCATCGTCCAGGTCTCCTTCATAGCAATGAGGCGAGCAGTCTTGGTCAAACGATCCACTATCACCCAGATTTTGTCCTTACCCGAACGGGTCGTCAGTAAACCTCCCACGAAATCCATAGATATAGAATCCCATTTCCCTTGTGGAATTTCTAATTGTTGTACCAACCCCTTTACCTTGCAACGCTCAGCTTTTACCTTCTGACAGGTAAGGCATTTCCCAACAAACTCTGCAACTTCCTTCTTCATGTTAGGCCACCAGAAGAAACCCTTCACGTCCTTGTATAACTTGTCTCCTCCGGGGTGAACGGAATAGGGTGTATTATGACCTTCTTCCAAAATCCGTCGCTTCCACTGCTCACATGACGCGGGTATGCACACACGGCTTTTGTACCTCAACACTCCATCCACGGATAACTCAAACGGTCCCCCTTTTCCTTTAGTTAGATCATCCCTTACCTTGGTAAAAAACATATCCTTTTGCTGCTCATCCTTAATTTCTCCCAGAAATGTAGGTACAATCCTTAAGTTATAACAACGAACTTCTGCCTCCACATCTCCTTGTTCCACCACTTCCAAACTCATCCGTTGAAGCTCCTTACACAGCTCATCCGCCACTACCCAAATAGAGCTAGCGGTATGCTTCGATTTCCGACTTAAGGCATCTGCTACCACATTGGCTTTTCCTTCATGATATTGAGTATCTAACTCATAGTCCTTGATGAGTTCTAACCACCTTCGTTGCCGCGTATTGAGATCCTTTTGGGTAAAGATATATTTGAGACTCTTGTGATCCGTGAAGATCTTGCAACGCACCCCATATAGATAATGCCTCCAAATTTTCAAAGCAAACACCACGGCGGCCAATTCCAAATCGTGGGTAGGGTAATTCTCTTCGTGAACTTTAAGCTGACGTGAGGCATAAGCAATCACCCTCCCGTTTTGCATCAACACACAACCTAGTCCCTTCTTGGACGCGTCACTGTATACCTCAAACCCTTCCGTTCCTGATGGCAAAATTAAAACTGGTGCAGACGTAAGTCTCTCCTTCAACTCTCGGAATGCTGATTCACAAGCTTGATCCCAAACGAAAGGCACTTCTTTTCTTAACAACTTAGTCAACGGTTGAGCCACCTTGGCAAAATCCAAAACAAATCTCCGATAATAACCTGCTAACCCAAGAAAACTTCTTACTTCCGACACCGATGAAGGTACAGTCCAATCTTTCACTGCCCGTATCTTGTCCGGATCCATAGAGATTCCTCTACTTTCAATCACGTGGCCTAGAAACGTCACACTGTCTTTCCAAAACTCGTACTTAGAAAACTTGGCATACAACTGCTTTTCCCGCAAGATCTGAAGTACCGTCCGGAGGTGCCCAACATGTTCCTCCTTATCTTTTGAATATACCAAGATATCGTAGATGAACACGATCACAAAATCGTCGAGGTGGGGTTTGAACACTCTGTTCATCAGATCAATGAAAACTGCAGGTGCATTGGTCCAACCGAAAGGCATAACCGTAAACTCATAATGACCGTACCGAGTCCGAAACGCAGTCTTCGGGATATCCTTGTCCGCTACTCTTATCTGATGGTACCCTGACCTCAAGTAAACTTTGGAAAACACTCCCGCGCCACGAAGTTGATCAAATAAGTCGTCTATTCTTGGAAGAGGGTATTTGTTCTTAATGGTAACTTGATTCAGCTCCCGGTAATCGATACACAACCTCATACTCCCGTCCTTCTTCTTTACAAACAATACCGGAGCTCCCCAAGGCGATGCACTTGGCCGGATATAACCCTTATCAAGGAGTTCTTGCAACTGAGCCTTCAATTCTTGCATTTCTGGCATAGCCAAACGATACGGGGCTTTAGAGATGGGTGCAGTGCCCGGCATGAGATCCACTGAAAACTCCACTTCCCTAGCAGGTGGCATACCCGGTATTTCTTCGGGAAAAACATCAAGAAACTCACGGACTACAGGTATCGTGTGAGCCACCTCCTCCCTTGCCTCCAAGTTCTCGACGGAACACAAGTACACATCATTGCCCTTGTCCATGTACCTCTTCATCTTTACCATAGACACCAACTTAATTCCGGGTTCTTCCATCTTTCCACGGTATGATACTCTCTTCCCGCTGGGTCCTCGTAGCACTATCTTCTGATCTTTGCACAAGATTTGGGCTCTAAACCGCCCCAACCAGTCCATACCTAGGACCACATCCATCCCGTCCAAGTCATACTGGATTAGATCACTAGGAAACTCTTCACCTTTGATACAAATCTTGATGCCCTCAAAAAGACGGTCACACATCCTAACTTCTCCCGACGTTACCTTCACATTAAACCTCACTCCAGCGCCCCCGGATAAGCCCAACTTCTTCACGAGGCCGGATGATATAAACGAGTTAGATGCCCCTGAATCAAACAAGACTGTTGCTGGCACAGATTGCACAAGGAATGTTCCCACTACCACGTCACTGTCACTTGTTCGGACTTCATTTAAGGTAAGCACCTTCTCTTGAGATGACCCCACCACCGGATGACGAACCCCTAACCTCCCATACTCTCTTACATCACGGAGTACTGGCAAGGTAGCTGCACTAGGACTTACTCTTGTGGACGTACCACTCCGGATCCACCGCTCAACTAGGAGCACTGCTAGATTCGGCCAACCGAGATCTCTTAACCACTTCACCCACATCTTCAAACACTGCGGTTCGCTGACGAGGAAGCATCACAGACTTCCACTACAACAACAAGGTTACCAAAAGAACAAGCAAGCAAGCAAGACAGAAAGCAACGAACATCTCACCGCGCAACCTAGAATCCTAAGCCTAACACTTAACTTCTTAAGGTCGCTTAGAGGTCTCAAAACACACTTAAACACTTAGAAAGTCTAGACTTAACTCTTCCTAGGCTCTAAACCAAGGTTCAAACCTAGGCTCTGATACCAACTGTAACACCCCCCAAAACTTAGACCTAAAAACAAGTCTTAACACATGCAGATTAACAACAAAGCACTAGCACAGTGGAAGATAGAAAGATAACTGGATAAAAGGAATCCAAAACGGGGTGTTATGCCACGTATTCCACACTTGGCATACGCTACGGCGACAATCTGCAAGTGTAACACTATCCCAAAAACAACAAACTAGAACAATCTAAAGACATTGGCACACAGGCCTCAACTACACAGTCTAAAGATACAGGTGCTAAGCTGTCGGCTCTAGAAATTGCGCTCGACTACGCATCACCTGAAAGATACAAAGATAAATATCGGGGTGACGCCCGGTCAGCGAAAGATGCTAGTAACCCACCAATACCGTTAAGTATCATAAATAGGTAGATATAAGATATAAAAACCATTTTCGAAATGGAATACATATATATAAATCAAAAGACAACACAAGACTCACCACTCACAAGGATAAAACCGGGAACACATCCCAACCACAAAGATTAACCACACACAAGGATAAAGACTCACCCAACGGCAACACATGTCAAAACACCACACCACAAGCCTCCATGACTACACACGTCACGAGAGAAGAGAACTCACCACAACAACGGCTTCACAAGCCCTAGTGACATCACCCATCACGAGTTGATATGCCTTCCTTATGCCCAGTTCCAACCTTATGGCTACCCCCAACCTTGTACCTTCGGTGCCAACCATTACCTCCAGAAAACCCCTGTACATCCAAGTGCAACCTTATTCCTCCGGGACCGTCGTCCCCCACCTACAGACCACCAACGAAAACCCACCAATTCACGGCAACACATGCCCGGATAACACAATGTTATCCCCAAACACGTGAACTCAGCCACAACTCCATGAAATCACGTCACGGCCACCACGAGGACCCCTGCAAAACCTTGGTGACTAGCGTCCCATACCACTAATCGTGCAATCCAGGTAAAGCCACACACGCACCACCACTCACACGAAACAAGCAACGGATTGCAAAAGAGATAAGAAACATACTCAATCAAGAGACAGGTCACCACCCATCGATAACAACGACGCTAGCATTAAGATAATAACTAGCGAGCTCAACAACGAGGAAACTCAAGATAGTTCCGAGGAACACACAAGACACCACACGGTTCAACAAAACACAATGTTGAACACTTAGCACGATACACAACACCAAAGATCCTACATAGATACCTACCATAAAGCTCTAGACCTACGAAACATCAAGAAGACGCTCAAATAGTTCCACAAAAGAACAACGGGAGGCCAAAAGATCAAAGACCGAGACAAACGAATCACGGGGAACAAATCCCATCTCAACACCATTGTGTTCCCCGCGGGTGGACCCACGGGTAGGCCCCTACCCGTGGGTATAACACCCACATTCCCGTGTACCGACGGGTGGGCGGCGGGTAGGGCTCTCCCCGCCGTTCCGCCCGCGGGTACACGCGCCTGTGTCAAACAATCCCTTCGGGGATTTTCTCCTTCCGACACAAATTCAAGTCCAAAACTGTAACACCCCAGATTTTCAATACTTTTAAAACTTATATAATAAAGATAGAATCTCATTAAATCCCAAA